TTAAAGGGTTCCGTCAGGGGCTTCATATGTAGAACCTTAAAGGGTTCCGTCAGGCGCTTCATATGTAGAACCTTAAAGGGTTCCGTCAGGGGCTTCATATGTAGAACCTTAAAGGGCTCCGTCAGGCGCTTCATATGTAGAACCTTAAAGGGCTCCGTCAGGGGCTTCATATGTAGAACCTTAAAGGGTTCCGTCAGGGGCTTCATATGTAGAACCTTAAAGGGTTCCGTCAGGGGCTTCATATGTAGAACCTTAAAGGGTTCCGTCAGGCGCTTCATATGTAGAACCTTAAAGGGCTCCGTCAGGGGCTTCATATGTAGAACCTTAAAGGGCTCCGTCAGGCGCTTCATATGTAGAATCTTAAAGGGTTCCGTCAGGCGCTTCATATGTAGAACCTTAAAGGGTTCCGTCAGGCGCTTCGTATGTAGAACCTTAAAGGGTTCCGTCAGGCGCTTCGTATGTAGAACCTTAAAGGGCTCCGTCAGGCGCTTCGTATGTAGAACCTTAAAGGGCTCCGTCAGGCGCTTCATATGTAGAACCTTAAAGGGTTCCGTCAGGTGATTCATATGTAGAACCTTAAAGGGTTCCGTCAGGCGCTTCGTATGTAGAACCTTAAAGGGCTCCGTCAGGCGCTTCATATGTAGAACCTTAAAGGGTTCCGTCAGGCGCTTCATATGTAGAACCTTAAAGGGCTCCGTCAGGCGCTTCATATGTAGAACCTTAAAGGGCTCCGTCAGGCGCTTCATATGTAGAACCTTAAAGGGCTCCGTCAGGCGCTTCATATGTAGAACCTTAAAGGGTTCCGTCAGGGGCTTCATATGTAGAACCTTAAAGGGTTCCGTCAGGCGCTTCATACGTAGAACCTTAAAGGGTTCCGTCAGGCGCTTCATACGTAGAACCTTAAAGGGTTCCGTCAGGCGCTTCTAATGTAGAACCTTAAAGGGTTCCATCAGGCGCTTCATATGTAGAACCTTAAAGGGTTCCTTCAGGCGCTTCATATGTAGAACCTTAAAGGGTTCCGTCAGGTGATTCATATGTAGAACCTTAAAGGGTTCCGTCAGGCGCTTCATATGTAGAACCTTAAAGGGTTCCGTCAGGCGCTTCATATGTAGAACCTTAAAGGGTTCCATCAGGCGCTTCATATGTAGAACCTTAAAGGGTTCCATTAGGCGCTTCATATGTAGAACCTTAAAGGGTTCCATCAGGCGCTTCATATGTAGAACCTTAAAGGGTTCCTTCAGGCGCTTCATATGTAGAACCTTAAAAGGTTCCATCAGGCGCTTCATATGTAGAACCTTAAAGGGTTCCGTCAGGCGCTTCATATGTAGAACCTTAAAGCAGGGGTCTCAAACTCAACTTAACTGGGGGCCGCTGGAGGTAGAGTCTGGGTCAGGCTGGGCCGCATCAAGTATTCCACAAAAAATAGTATTCAAGTATTCCAAAAAAGGAGCACAACTGATCCAATCTTCTCAATATTTATTATTAACGTTTCTTCTGAACTGTTCCTCTGAATTTGAACATTCCTTTCTGTACATGATTGGTTCTTCATGAGCTGTCCTTCTGACAGTTGAAGTTCATTTTACAAACTTTTTTTTTCGATAACATATTTGTGATTTATTTATATTTGCTTATGTCCTTTTTATTTTCTTTATACAACACATTAATGATATTGAATTTTTTTTGGAAGGCACATTTCCTTATTATTATACAATTATTGCTTTTGAAATACAAATATTTGCAGTCATGTCTGCCCATCTTATTGAATTATTTCTACACATGTATAGTGTCTCAAATTACTGACTGCACAAATCAAAGCAAACCTTCTTATGAACCTGTTGGACACATATTACAAGCTCAAAATGATTATTCTCACATTGTTTTAGAGCAGGGGTCTCCAACACGTCGCTCGCGAGCTACCAGTAGCTCGTGGCCTGATTGGTGGTAGCTCGCCAAGGGGCCGTTCACATATCGCGCTCACATATTTTGCGCGCTCAAGTTCGTTATTTCAAATGTAGGCGCGCGGCAAGCGCGCTCATAATTGAAGCGACGCGCTCATTTTTTCCAGGCGCAGTATGTTTGTACTTCGCGGTTGTCTATGACAACTATTGACAACAAACCCACCGTAAGCTATTACGAGACTATCTATGGTAGCCCATAAGGGCTAATTTTTTTTTTTTTTTTTTTTTTTAACCTCTTAACCAGCGCCCCATTTTTTGAGAATTTTCTGAAAATGACATACCCAAATACAAATGTCTGTAGCTCTTAAACCCTATGGTCCACATTCATAACTCTGATCTTTTTTTAAACTAGACACTTGAAACTTTGTTACCCAAGAGTCATTATTACTCAAAGTAGCATAGGAACAGAGTAAAACAAGGTAAAATTTACATGAATGTGACTCACGATTTCTTTTAATTAACTTCACTTAGGGAAAAAATGATCAGACTTTTATGTTAAGGGCCTGAAAACACCATAAAGATAAAATTGAATGTCTGACCATGTTTAGATTCAAATTTGAGGATGATACTCCCAAAAATGTAGCTTCTGTAAGCTTTTATTCAAGAAAAGTATAGGCGTCCTTTCCAAAATGCAATTTGGAGACTCCAAATGGACACCTGGCACCCAAACACTTTACATAGGGAGTAAACACTATAGGTCTGCAACAACAATTCAGAACTGTTATGCCCTTCAAACCACACAAGAAAAAAACGATTTCAGCACAACATTTGAACATTTTACCAAAATTATCTTTATTTTGAACAATTCTAATAGCAAAAACAGTGATTTCTCACTACATGTATAGACATTGCAGAAGTGTTCATTTTCCAACTAATGTATAAAATATATAAAAAGAAAAACATAAATGTTTTAGAACATTTGTAATTACAAACGTGGTTTTTACCCAAATAAATTGCAATAAACTGATACTTATAATGAATATCCTATTACTTCCTGTTGCTCTTCGTCATTTTCTGCAAAAAAACCTTCAAATCTCTTCTGTAGTCGACGATCCATGATACAGATGCTCAGATATAAGCTTTAGAGTAAATCCGTGCATTTATGCAAGCTCCATGTGTCAAAACATCGCGTTTATGTGTCTGTTTACATTCTGGTCGGCTTACTATGTGTGTGCGTGCTGCGCGCGTGGCGAAAGCGCACATGTGAATGAAAACTTTGCGCAGTTGAATTTGACGAATGTGCTTGCATGAACTGTCTATCACTGCAATCGATTTTAGTTGGCTAATACTCCCATCAATCAAAACGTAGCTCAAAGGACATTGGATAGCATTATCCAGGCTTTTATCCAGTCGAAAGCCCAGCTGCGCGATGGACAGCGCGCTCAGCCTGTCAGGGACTCTCTTACTGTTTTGGTCTGTAACAGAGCCTGTGATTGAAGGACAGAGAAGTAGGATGTATCATTCGATCCGGAAGAGTCTAAACTGCGGGGGTGAGATGGCTTTTGAGTGTTGGAATATGGATTAGAATCGATATTTCTTTGAAAATGAACATGATGCGAACTCTATCTCGAAAACGCTCATGAAAACAAAGGAGGATATTTCATTTTTTTCCCCTATTTTTCGTTGTTTTGGATTAAAAAGTGGGATGCATTTTGAAGAGTGGACCCTTACATTGAAATGTATGCTGTTGTTTCTTGGATTCTTCCGAACTGATCTGAACCATACGAGATGAAAGATGAGTATAGCGGTTCATTTTTCTCATTTTCAAATGAGCAGTCCTTTTGCATTTTATTTAACCCTTTCCTCTCTGGTGTATTGATTGCAAAAACAAGTCTAGAACATGGTTCTTGAGTGTTTTAGCTTTCAAATGATGCATAGTTTATGATAGTCAGATGAATATTTGTTATAAAACAAAGCTTAAAAAAGGTAATAAAAGTATAGCCACGCCCTCGACGGCCCGCTCGCGGGCCGATGCGGGTTAAGAAGTTAAACGTGGCACACGCAACGACGGGCCGCACTAACATTAAACTTTAATGTCAAGTAGGGGGCCACAAAATATCACCCCGCGGGCCGCAAATGGCCCCCGGGCCGCGAGTTTGAGACCTCTGCCTTAAAGGGTTCCTTCAGGCACTTCATATGTAGAACCTTAAAGGGTTCCTTCAGGCGCTTCATATGTAGAACCTTAAAGGGTTCCGTCAGGCACTTCATATGTAGAACCTTAAAGGGCTCCGTCAGGCGCTTCATATGTAGAACCTTAAAGGGTTCCGTCAGGCGCTTCATATGTAGAACCTTAAAGGGCTCCGTCAGGCGCTTCATATGTAGAACCTTAAAGGGTTCCGTCAGGGGCTTCATATGTAGAACCTTAAAGGGTTCCGTCAGGCGCTTCATATGTAGAACCTTAAAGGGTTCCGTCAGGCGCTTCATATGTAGAACCTTAAAGGGTTCCGTCAGGCGCTTCATATGTAGAACCTTAAAGGGTTCCGTCAGGCGCTTCATATGTAGAACCTTAAAGGGTTCCGTCAGGCGCTTCATATGTAGAACCTTAAAGGGTTCCGTCAGGCGCTTCATATGTAGAACCTTAAAGGGTTCCGTCAGGCGCTTCATATGTAGAACCTTAAAGGGTTCCGTCAGGGGCTTCATATGTAGAACCTTAAAGGGCTCCGTCAGGGGCTTCATATGTAGAACCTTAAAGGGCTCCGTCAGGGGCTTCATATGTAGAACCTTAAAGGGTTCCGTCAGGCGCTTCATATGTAGAACCTTAAAGGGTTCCGTCAGGCGCTTCATATGTAGAACCTTAAAGGGTTCCGTCAGGCACTTCATATGTAGAACCTTAAAGGGTTCCGTCAGGGGCTTCATATGTAGAACCTTAAAGGGCTCCGTCAGGGGCTTCATATGTAGAACCTTAAAGGGTTCCGTCAGGCGCTTCATATGTAGAACCTTAAAGGGTTCCGTCAGGCGCTTCATATGTAGAATTTTAAAGCTTCCTTCATGTTTCATATTAATTTTTTCTAAGAGTGTAATGTTCTGCCCCGTTTTTTTCAGGTGAGACACTGGGAATCCCGGACACAGTCATGGGAATGACGCTCCTGGCAGCAGGAACCAGCATTCCCGACACCGTGGCCAGTGTGATGGTGGCTCGCGAAGGTAAAGAACTGTCCTCAAGCATACGTGCATCACATGACCTACTTATTTATTTAACCAGATAAATCCCACGAGATATCAGCACCAGAGACACCTGGCCAAGACGGCAGCACACAGAGTTTCACACAACAAACTATACTCGTACAAAACAAAAAGTCAAAAAAAAAAGTATGATATTCAATATATATCTCGATATGTTTGCATTTGCTTTTAAATAAAAAAAAAACATAAAAAAAAAAACATTGTAGATAGAACAGCTATTGTTACCAAGGAAATACAAAATGTTTAGTGCAAATTTAAGCAGTTAAAAAAAATCTACACCAACTTCTTGTTATTAAATGAACTCACTGAACTGTTCTCCATGATAGACAGTCCTGCTTCCTTGCTTCCTGGGAGAATATATTTATAATATATTACAAAGTACAAGTGTATTGGCAGAGGGTTAAAAGGGAAATTAGTAAAGTTTTAGGAAGAGATATATAGATATACTGTTTGCTTGATGGTTTCCCTCGGATCAGTTTAGTAAATCCCACTTATATGTGTTGCATATATTGTTAATGGCGGCTGGGAAGATAATAGCTGTGAACTGAAAGTGCATGAAGCTGTTGTGACAGAAGGGACACACTGAAAGCAGACTCGTTTCGACAGAAGTGCGCACTTATTGAAACACATTTGCTTGTAGGAAGATATTTACTGTTAAGTGCTGTCAGGGACTTTTGTATTTATTTGAACTTTGTATTTTCTTTTTGTATTTTTTCTCACTTTTTATGTGTATTTATTTATTTACATGTCATTATTAATGTTATAAGTAATTGTTAGGTAACAGCGTTTTGTTTAAATTTTTTTTTTTTACTATATTAAAAAAAAAGAGATGAAGCTGCAAGTATATTAAAAGACTCCTATAATGTCCTTTTCACAAGATGTAAAATAAGTCTCTGATGTCCCGAGTGTGTGTGTGAAGGTTCAGCTCAAAATACCCACAGATATTTTTTTATAGCATGTTAAATCGTCACTTTTTGAGGGCGAGGAAAAACACGCGTTTTAGTGTGTCCCTTTAAATGCAAATGAGCTGCTGGGGGCGGAGCTCCAAGAGCTGGTGTCCCTTTACCTCACACACACACACACACACAGAACATTTCAAAAACTTTTGTTCAAACCGGAGTCAGACAAAGACGGAGACTCTAGAAGTGACAACATGTAGAGCAACAGGACATTTCTGATGGTTAGTTGATGAGTTTATGTTTCTGATGTGGAGTTAACTCTCTTCTAGACATTGATTAGCATATTCTGTCATGGTAATCTATAAATTGGGGCGGGGTTTATGTAAATTTGAGGGTTGGTGATGTCACTAACCTGTGAAGAAACTCAGTGTAGTTCTACCAGATGTTAGTTGTAGTCCTTAATAAGCATTTCTGTAAAAGCAAATCTCTCCCTTTGCTGTGAACTTTGAGTCGAGACTCTGCAGATGTTGTTTACGCTCAAACTGCAACATTACACACTAACTACAGCTAGAAAAGTGACATCATAATCACCGCCCCTTTAACGAAGTTCATACGTTTTTTTTTTTTAGTTTTTTTTTTTAGTTGGTGACATTTAATGTAATATTCATCAATATTATTGATCTCCTGCACTGACAGCATTATATGAGAACTGAACTGAGCTGGACGATGACATCACGGTTTTCTCCAGAGCCGCTAAATATATAAATGAACTAAATTTATAACTTTCTTACAACAGAAATGATCCATCACTGAACTTACTTAAGCTGGACTGTGACACTATTGTCTTGTGTGTATCAGTGAAGCTGATTTGCTTGTGTGTCGCAGGTAAAGCTGACATGGCCATGTCCAACATCGTGGGCTCGAACGTGTTCGACATGCTGTGCCTCGGCCTGCCCTGGTTCATCCAGACGGTGTTCGTGGCGCCGGGCTCCCCGGTGGAGGTCAACAGCGCGGGTCTGCTCTTCATGTCCTGCACGCTCCTGCTCTCCATCCTCTTCCTCTTCTCCGCCGTGCACCTCAACGGCTGGAGGCTGGACTGGAAGCTGGGTCTGGTGTCTCTGGCGTGTTACGTTCTCTTCGCCACGCTCTCCATCCTGTACGAGCTCGGGATCATCGGGAACAGCCCGATCCGAGCCTGCGGAGACTAGATCATGTGACACTGGCTGTGTTTACACTACGAAAAATCACTATGTTTGTCAGCACAAATATCGAAACATTCTTAACTCGAGGTAGATTTACTGGAGAAGCAGAATCACTGAAGATATTAGGTCTTGTTTACTGGAAAAAAAGTTAGTTTGAGCTTAAAACAAGAACTAGTATCTGCTAATGGAGTTAGAAATATCTGAATTCAAAGAGAAACAAGATTATATTTCTGACTCCATTAGCAGATATTAGTTCTTGTTTTAAGCTCAAACTCATTTCATTGACTTAAATTGATCTTCAGTCATGTCGCTTCTCCGGTAAATGTGTCTCGATTTAATAATGTTTCGATATTTGTGCTGGAAAACGAGACAAACACTGATTTTTGTTTTAGCGGTGTACGGTATGTAAGTTTCCCCCCATTAGTTTATTTATTTCGAACGAACAAAACTGAAACGATGGTCCATTAAAAAAAAGTGGTGCTTTTGATCTCACTATATCACACATTTACAGTCAAATTAATATACTCACATAACACCTGTTCTAACACTGACTTTCACATTTTACTTTATATGCAGTATTTCCAATCATGTTAAGTCATTAAAAATCAGCTATTTTTTATTAACGAAGCAGAACATCTTTAAACAGTACAAGATACATTTACTTGAAAGCAGATTTAAAGTCTTGTTTACTGAAAAATCTATTAAAATGAAGTGAGTTTGTGCTGAAAACAAGAACTAATATCACCAATGGAGTCAGAAATATAATTAGATTTCTCTTTGAATGAAGTTGATTCTTCTTTTAGACTCAAAACGAGTTAAAGAAGAATAGTGTCGACTGATGGATTGTGCTGAAAAGCGTTTAGTCTTGTTTATATGTCTGAGATGGTTTAACATGCTATTTAGCTTCTCAGGTAGATGTTGATTTAATAACTCTCTTTAATGGAAAACAGTGCAGTCATACGTGTACGTCAGGGTTACATCAGCATCCGCTTCATCAACTGGTTTCTAAAACTTGCTCAGGGATTGTGGTCAATGTTGTGATAAAAGTAGTTATTTGGATAAATCTGGTTTAGCACTGCAATAAGACTTTCTTTTACGAGTAGTAAAATCACTGTTCAAATGTAATCTTAAAGATTGTTGGTTGCACTGGTTTATCTCCTCTTCCTCTACCTCAGATCATTCCTCCGCACGCCGGGGTCTCATTACTGGAACACTGCATTACAACACTAATAAACTAATACTACCATCATGCAGCTTTGTTTTTTTAGTACAGAAACGAGATTTTGAAGGGTCAATTTTCATTTTAAAACATTTATTTTTATTTCTTATTCACGCGAGTTTGACTGATGCATCTTCAAAGGTTACAGCTAGATACAACATGAAAGATTTTATGAGAATTTTTAAATCTTAATTTCAAGACCTGAAAGACAGTCTAACATTAAATTGTTGCAAATATTTTTTTTCCAAAAAAAATTTTTTTATTAAGAAAATTCCTAAATTTAGAGGACTTAAAAGTAAAAAAAAAAAAAAACAGCAGAAGTTAAGAATGTTTTGTGAGTTCTGGACGTGTTCCTCAAACACACACAAACTCACCGCCAGACAGAATTTACAACAGCCGACTTTTTATTTTTTTTTAAAATCTGGACACAAACGCCTTACAAATGTAAAAAAAAAAAAAAAAAAAAAAAAAAGCAAAGCGAAAGGCGTCGTCGTTCAGGAACATTAAAAGGCTGCGAGTGTTCGGGTGTGACAGTCGAGATGTTTCTAAAACCCGAGACGAGCGGCTCAAGCGTTACGGTCGATGCGCACGTCTACCTCGCGGCCGTTGATCTTCGTCCCGTTCATCACTCGACAGGCTTTCTCTGCGCTCTCGGGGCCGTCGAAGCGCACCGTCCCGCAGCCTTTAGACCTGCCGTTCTCCATCTTGATCTCAGCGTACATCACCTGACCTGCAGGAACACAGCGTGCAGTCAGCGCAGAGACGCCTCGGCAGAAATTACAGATACACACACACACATACATAATGATACAAAATTAATTATATACAATTATAATAAATAAGTTTAATAAATTATATTTTTATGGGAGTTATTAATTTATAGTTTTATTATATGAAAGTACATTCAAAAATTGTGTAAAATAATAATGAAAATACTACATGTATATATTTTTTATTTATAATTTTTGTATTTTTTTCCTACTGTTAACCCTTTAGGCGCCAGAGGTTTATTCCTAAAACGTTTGATTTTGACATCTTAGGGTGTATTCACACCAGGAAAGTCCGATAGTTCACTTGCTTTGGTCCGGACCAAAACATATATATATTTTTTTTTTGGTACGGTTCGCTTTCACACTGCTCTTTTTGCAAGTGAACCAAATTTTGTAAACAAAACCACACGTGTGCTAAGGTCATCCATTCATTGGACAAGGATTCACAAGTAGGGAAATCAGGAAGTGCAAAAAAGGCTCAGCATGGAGATATTTCGTACTGCAATATTTGTTATTTTACTAATTTTGTGTTATTCTGTACAAACACAATATGAAGAAACTGCGCAGAAGACGGATAAGGTATAAAGTTTTCATTCATAGAGAGGGGCTATGTTCACACATTCAAATAATGAGATTCTTATTGTATATACTGCTAACAAGTGCTGTCAATGTTAACGCTTGCGATTAAGTTTGTCCAGTTTAACGCAGCATCATCCTTGTATTGTAACTATCGTTACATTATATGAACTGCAAAAGCTTTTTTTGCATCTATGCGTGATTAGACTAAAGAGAACGCGCTGTATGTGAATGTCCTGATGCACACACTCACTCATCCATTCCATTCCAATGACGCACACACACGACGCGCAGAAAGACGCGCAACAGTATCGTGTGGCCAGACAGCGCGCCGGAATGGAATTCTCTTTCGCACTTGAACAACAATAACACAAACCATTATGCCAAAATCTCCGACTACGGAAGCCTGTTAACTCAAAGGCGCCGTGCCGTGCTTTCTTGCAGTTGGGTCGGTTCATGTTCACACCGTAAACGAACCGTACCAGAGTTCGTGTGGAAGCGTACCGAGACCACCTCTTCAGCTGGGTCTCGGTTCGGTTCTTTGGTCCGCACCCGAGTTCGATTGCTGTATTCACACCTGCCCAAAAGGTCCGCACCAAGGGGGGAAACGAACTAGAGTTCGATTCAATCGAACCAAACAAGGCAGGTGTGAATACACCCTTAATTTCAAAAGGCTATATCTTAAAAGTGATAAAAGATAGAGACTTTCTGTAAATTAGAGAAATATTAAGGATGACCCAAAGTGTATGTAGGGATTACATTTTCCCCATCTAATTTGCATATTATGACGTCATATGGTGGTGGCAATCTTGAGTTATAGAATTTTCATGGAAAGTCACGTGTTTAAATGATAAAATGTAGCACTTCTTTCCCCCCAAAATGTCCCTCACCTTCTGTATGCTATATTGCACAACAGTGAATGCTCAGGTACAGGTCCTTCTAAAAAAAATTAGGATATTGTGATAAAGTTCATTATTTTCCATAATGTAATGATAAAAATTAAACTTTCATATATTTTAGATTCATTGCACACCAACTGAAATATTTCAGGTCTTTTATTGTTTTAATACTGATGATTTTGGCATACAGCTCATGAAAACCCAAAATTCCTGTCTCAAAAAATTTGAATATCATGAAAAGGGTCTCTAAACGAGCTATTAACCTAATCATCTGAATCAACTAATTAACTCTAAACACCTGCAAAAGATTCCTGAGGCTTTTAAAAACTCCCAGCCTGTTTCATTACTCAAAACCGCAATCATGGGTAAGACTGCCGACCTGACTGCTGTCCAGAAGGCCATCATTGACACCCTCAAGCAAGAGGCTAAGACACAGAAAGAAATTTCTGAACAAATAGGCTGTTCCCAGAGTGCTGTATCAAGGCACCTCAGTGGGAAGTCTGTGGGAAGGAAAAAGTGTGGCAAAAAACGCTGCACAACGAGAAGAGGTGACCGGACCCTGAGGAAGATTGGGGAGAAGGACCGATTCCAGAGCTTGGGGGACCTGCGGAAGCAGTGGACTGAGTCTGGAGTAGAAACATCCAGAGCCACCGTGCACAGGCGTGTGCAGGACATGGGCTACAGGTGCCGCATTCCCCAGGTCAAGCCACTTTTGAACCAGAAACAGCGGCAGAAGCGCCTGACCTGGGCTACAGAGAAGCAGCACTGGACTGTTGCTCAGTTTTGCATGTCATTCGGAAATCAAGGTGCCAGAGTCTGGAGGAAGACTGGGGAGAAGGAAATGCCCAAATGCCTGAAGTCCAGTGTCAAGTACCCACAGTCAGTGATGGTCTGGGGTGCCATGTCAGCTGCTGGTGTTGGTGCACTGTGTTTTATCAAGGGCAGGGTCAATGCAGCTAGCTATCAGGAGATTTAGGAGCACTTCATGCTTCCATCTGCTGAAAAGCTTTATGGAGATGAAGATTTCATTTTTCAGCACGACCTGGCACCTGCTCACAGTGCCAAAACCACTGGTAAATGGTTTACTGACCATGGTATTACTGTGCTCAATTGGCCTGCCAACTCTCCTGACCTGAACCCCATAGAGAATCTGTGGGATATTGTGAAGAGAAAGTTGAGAGACGCAAGACCCAACACTCTGGATGAGCTTAAGGCCGCTATCGAAGCATCCTGGGCCTCCATAACACCTCAGCAGTGCCACAGGCTGATTGCCTCCATGCCACGCCGCATTGAAGCAGTCATTTCTGCAAAAGGATTCCCGACCAAGTATTGACTATTGAGTGCATAACTGAACATAATTATTTGAAGGTTGACTTTTTTTTGTATTAAAAACACTTCTTTTATTGGTCGGATGAAATACGCTAATTTTTTTAGACAGGAATTTGGGGTTCTCATGAGCTGTATGCCAAAATCATCAGTATTAAAACAATAAAAGACCTGAAATATTTCAGTTGGTGTGCAATGAATCTAAAATATATGAAAGTTTAATTTTTATCATTACAGTATGGAAAATAATTAACTATCACAATATGCTAATTTTTTGAGAAGGACCTGCATATAGTAAGTAGCAAACAAACTGTGTAAATCATTACTAATAAATGGTAGAAACAAACCGAATGCATGTAGTGGTTGGCCTTTTGCTGTAGAGATTTTCCATTTACTACATACAGTAGGCACTCTGATTCCATGTATGGGGCACATATATATTATTCATAATATGACACACAAACACAAGTAGACTAGAGCTGTTTAGTTCAAGCGCTCACTCGCACAGATCATGAGTGAGATGACACGAGCAGCGCGGCCAGATCGAGTGTGCACAGCTCGGACTGCTGTCATTGTCATCGCGACTCCTCACCCTGCCTCCACGTCGCCCCCTAACTGTCCTATGAATACTTCGGCCTCCTCTAACATACCCAGTGGCATTAGACAAAGTCTCCACCACAATACTGTCGCCGCGATCGCGGAGAGGCTCTGATAAAACGGCTCAGTCGCACACCAGCTCCACTTTTGATCGCACTGATTCAATGCGCTCTAACTCGAAGATTTTGTTTAGAAGCATGACGTTTTTTTGAGTCGGGGATGAAGTGTGACATGTCTGCCATCCAGTGGAGGGGAGGTCGAACGAAATTTGACACCCAATTTGACAAAATCAGCCGTTTTATTCAGTGCCGCATCTTGTTGAATAAACTCGACCGTGGCGCCTAGAGGGTTAACATCGCTTTGTAACATTTCTGCTTTTACCCCCTAATAATTTGTGTTAAAATGTTTTATGCATATATGTGTAAATATTTTCAGTGTTATTTTCTCTTAAACCTAATTAACATTCAATTTAAAACCAGAGAGAGTCGAGATTTGCATCACGTACCGCAGTGACTGAACTTCTCCTTCAGCTTCTGCCAGGTCAGATCATACGAGAGCTGCGGACACACACACACACGTCAGTGACACACACACACACGAGAGCTGCGGACACACACACACACACACACACACGAGAGCTGCGGACACACAATTCCCGTCAAACACACGTCAGTGGCGCACACAAGTCAGTGGCGCACACACGTCAGTGACACACACACACACACACACGAGAGCTGCGGACACACACACACACACACGAGAGCTGCGGACACACAATTCCCGTCAAACACACGTCAGTGGCGCACACACGTCAGTGGCGCACACACGTCAGTGGCGCACACACACACACACGAGAGCTGCGGACACACAATTCCCGTCAAACACACGTTAGTGGCGCACACACGTCAGTGGCGCACACACGTCACACGTCAGTGGCGCACACACGTCAGTGGCGCACACACGTCACACGTCAGTGGCGCACACACGTCAGTGGCGCACACACGTCAGTGGCGCACACACGTCAGTGGCGCACACACGTCAGTGGCGCACACACGTCAGTGGCGCACACACGTCAGTGGCGCACACACGTCAGTGGCGCACACACGTCAGTGGCGCACACACGTCAGTGGCGCACACACGTCAGTGGCGCACACACGTCAGTGGCGCACACACGTCAGTGGCGCACACACGTCAGTGGCGCACACACGTCAGTGGCGCACACACGTCAGTGGCGCACACACGTCAGTGGCGCACACACGTCAGTGGCGCACACACGTCAGTGGCGCACACACGTCAGTGGCGCACACACGTCAGTGGCGCACACACGTCAGTGGCGCACACACGTCAGTGGCGCACACACGTCAGTGGCGCACACACGTCAGTGGCGCACACACGTCAGTGGCGCACACACACACACGAGAGCTGCGGACACACACAATTCCCGTCAAACACACGTTAGTGGCGCACACACGTCAGTGGCGCACACACGTCAGTGGCGCACACACGTCAGTGGCGCACACACGTCAGTGGCGCACACACGTCAGTGGCGCACACACGTCAGTGGCGCACACACGTCAGTGGCGCACACACACACACGAGAGCTGCGGACACACACAATTCCCGTCAAACACACGTTAGTGGCGCACACACGTCAGTGGCGCACACACGTCAGTGGCGCACACACGTCAGTGGCGCACACACACACACGAGAGCTGCGGACACACACAATTCCCGTCAAACACACGTCAGTGACACACACGAGAGCTGCGGACACACAATTTCCATCAAACACATGTCAGTGACACACACACACACTCATACGAGAGCTGCGGACACACACGATTCCCGTCAAACACACGTCAGTGACACACACACTCATCTTCATACGTACGTTTCTCACAAAGATCTGGCATCCGGCCTTAGACCCCGCCCCCCTGTCACTCATTCCACCCATGTGACCACTGTACTGGCCGAAGCCACGCCCCATGTCCATGTTTCCCGCCATTCGGTCAAAGCCAGAATTCATGCGGTCCATTCCCATATTGAGCATTCCTCCTCCTCCTCCACCTGGAACACACACACACACACTCAGATGACGTGCTTACACATGCCGTATTGGTTCTGATAAAAACAACAGAGCAAGTAATAAAATGCAACTGGTAATCATACACAAGTATGACAGTAACACACTGTATTTGATCAGTCGTCACGGAAACACTTTACAGTAAGGTGAACATTAATATTAGTTGATTACGAGCAACACATTTGTTACCGTATTTATTAATGTGTGTTAATGATGTATTTATCTAATGTCTAACTATTCACTGTTAGTTCAACTCAGATCAGATCATTAAATAATATTATATTTTAATAATGTATAACTAAATGTTGAACTAAGATTAATAAATGCTGCAGAAGTATTTCACTGTAAATGTTGACTTGTGAAATTAACTACTAATAAAACCTTCCTGTAAAATGTCGCCGATGGAATACTTTTATGATAGAAATTTGATTTGTGTCAATCATAATGAACTGTATATGAATGTATTTTCAAGTTGTGTGTGTGCGTGAGATGAGTGACCTAATCCAGAGCCAATGAGTCCTATCCCAGAATTCCCCATTCCTGCATATCCTCCAGCTGATGGGAAAGAGAACAGACGTCAGTGACCATCAGCACACACACACACACGCTCTCACACACACTCACTCTCTCTCTCTTACACACACACATACACTCTCTCCCTCTCACACACTCTCTCTCTCTCTCGCTCTCTCTCTCTCACACACCTCCAAACGAGTCTCCGAACTGGACGCTCATTCCCAGGTCACTCCTGCCGAAGTCTCTGTCCATCCCCGACATTCCAGAGCGATACATGTCTGCACACAAACTCAAGCATGAGACCGACAGCGAACAGACAATCCACACGTGTGTAGCCCATATCCCATGATGCAGTGCTTCACTGGACCCCGAGCTGCTCGCATAAAGAGCCGAATTTCACTCTGAAGCTTGACAATTTAACATTTGAACTGGTATCAGAAACTAGATTTTTTATATATACAGGGTGTCTACAGATATAAACAAGTTAAATTTAAGACTTTAAGACCTTTTTAATGCCACTTTGAATGAAATTTAAGACCAAACCTGTGATGGAAATACACATTATTTTACATACGTATATGTAATATTTAATGTTTAACCTAAGCAATTGAAGTAATTTAATATCAACTACTTGTTTATTGAACTAAAATCAATGTAACATTTGCAATCGTGAGAATATTCAGCAAAATAGCTCCTGTCATGTTACTTAACTATATCTTATGATAAAAAAAATAAAAATAAAAAACTATATCATGTTATAAATAAAAAAACTCAACATTTTTTATTTTTACCTCAGTATGTTTCTTCTGAGTTTTTTTATGTGCTGTTATGCACGTTAGTTTTGATTTCTCACTTTAAAATCTCTCACACAGACAGGCAGCGTGAGTCTCAACAGCGCTGCAGGAATACATTACAGGGCTCGACATTAAGCCTTTTCATGTGCTTGTCCTTTTGACAATTCACTTGTCCGAGTAAAAAAGTGGCTTTGTCCGGATTAAGTTAATTTATTCTGAAGCAATATTCTCAGTGTTCAATCAGCTTTGATATTTAAATCGGCATATTGTAATATCTGCACCTTTAAAGGGCAAATTTTAAATTCCTAAATTTGATCAATAAATTAAATTATTTATAATAATAAGACACTATAGGGCTGTTACCCTAGGTAGGGCTGATCAAATTAAATCATTTACACTGAAAAATTACAATTGCATAAAATAATGTTATGAAATTGATTTAAATATACAAATAAGAAACGTTGGAAAGAATGATACTACTTTTAAACATAACACTAAACCGCCAGTAGGTGGCGGCAGGCGACCGTCTTAATGAGTGAGTCATTGAGTCATTCATACAAACGATTGGTTTAAACGGTTGATTCATTCAAGAATGAGACAGATGTTAATGTATGGGTCATTGAATCTTTGACTCAACCGATTCGATCAAAATGCTGAATCATTCAGTAATGAAAACAGTGAGTGTTCCTGTGAGATGCGCCGTGGTTCTGCTGTGATTTTTGTTTGGAACTATTTTCGCTGCTGAAACAGAACAAAAACAGCCAATATTGCATCTAAAATGTAAGTGACTTAATTTTAACTGTTTATTGAACTGTTGTAGGAAATCAATGTCACATTTTCAATCGTGATGGTATTCAGGAAAAATAATTCAGTTTGCTTAACATATGTTAAACATATAAAACTCCACATTTAGATTTATTATTGGCAGTATGTTGTTAAATGAGTGTGTGTGTTGCGCTCATTTGTGTAGATTTCTCCTCGAGAGGCTGCGCGAGCGTCAACAGCGCAACCTTACCGTCAGTAATACATTTATTATCCACAATCGATAGCAACTTACAATAAAAGTAATAAAATCAGAATCATTCTCTCGGTTTAGTCATTCCCTCGTTATTTTTGTTTTTGTTGATGTTCTCATCAGGCGGACAAGCGTTAATGTCAAGTCCTGCGTTATCATTATCAATCACTGTTTATGTAATAAAATCAGAATCATTCTCACGATTCGATGCTTTACTGGTTATTAGACGGACATTGGGTCCGTCAGACTGGAGAAATTTTAGCGGTAATGTGACCAGAAATATTTAAGACCCATAGAATCTGAATTTAAGACATTTTAATACTTAAGGCCTTTTATTAGGAAAACTTTATTTAAGACATTTTAAGACTTTAAGGACCCGCGGCCACCCTGATATATATATATTCATATGCTGTCAAATCGATTAATCACGATAAACTGCATCTAACATAATTATTTTGAAGTGTTGGTGCTTTATGTAACGTGTTGTGTAAGTGATAATTCCCGTTTGAGATTTGTGCTGTACAGGCCACCATACAGACTTCTTCAAAGGATTTGCTGATTTTATATCCTAGTACTGTCTGTAACTAAAGTCCTAATTGTTGGTGATTTTAATATCTGTGTAGATCATGAAAGACGTATTGGGCATTTAGAGATATTCTGAACTCTATAGGAGTTAGACAACCCGTGTCAGGACCCACTCACTGTCGTAATCATACTCTAGATCTAATATCATCACAAGGAAACAATGTTGATGCAGCAGAGCGGTGACATCTCAGATCATTATCTAGTTTTATGTAAACTTCATTTAGCCAAGGCTGCAAAACCAACTCTGTTACAAATATTTTTGTAAACTGGTAAAGCTGTAACAGTAACAAATATGAACAGATGTGAATTGTATCCCTCTACAATAAAAACTTAAAGAAAAAAAGAGAGCAGCCTGAAAAATGGAGCGCTGCTTAACGAAAAGCAAAACTAGAGGTATTTCGCATTTCATGGAAAGATAGCACTATTGCACACAGAAAAACTGCTAGATCAGCTTATTTTTCGTCTCTCTTAGAAGAAAATAAACACAACCTGAGGTATTTATTTGAAACAGTGGCTAAACTAACGAGAAATAAAGCTTCAAGCTCATACGTTTGCAAGCAGCACAGCAGGGATGACTTTATGAACTTCTTTAGTTGCAAGATTGATAATATCAGGGAGAAAATGATGACTATGCAACCATCTACCACAGTATCGCATCAGACAGTGCGTTGTAGTCTCCCTGAGGAAAAACTCCATTCACTCAGTGCTATAGGAGAGGAAGAATGGTCTAAACTTTTAATTGTCTAGTCTTTAAATCATCTAAATCAACAACATGCATGTTAGGCCCTATACCGACTAAGCTGAACATTCTTGTATTTCTAAAAATCGCAATATATATTAAAGAAAAGCATCACAATGTCAATTTTTTCCAATATCGTGAAGCTCTAACAGAAAGACAGACAGTTGGATGGGATGATGTTTTACCTCCCATTCGGCCCATGGATCCCATGTCTCTGGCACCGAATCCTCCCATGCAGTCCATGCTGGAAAACCCCGCGCTCATCCCTGCGCACACACACACACACACACACGTGAGCGCCCTCACAGCTGACCCTGAGACGATCCGCTTCAGATAAACGTGACGTCTCTCTCACCACTCATGCGGTTCATGCTGCTGCATCCCGGCCCGTCCATTCCTGCGGGATCAACCAGTCCTTCATTACCCATCAATCCCAGCCACTGCTTGATAATGCAGCTGATACATTACATATTCTTACTGGTGACCAATGAACGTCACATTTCATGGTCTTCGTCTCATTCATTTCAGTGAATGAACTGAACACATTTAGTAAATCAGTCCATTTATAGACACTAGTGCTGCAACAATAAATCATAAAGTTTGTGTTTACATAATATATGTGTGTATACTGTAGGGATGGGCAGATGAAGCACTGAGGCTTTCCCCTGAATGTTTCGGGAAAAGATTCGAAGCATCAAGAGTGTTAAACAGCGCCATCTTGTGGCAGGACACATTTACAGCAGCCGTGTTTATGAGCAGATCATGGGTAACACAACGGCCTGCGCACTCATGAAGCACAAATAAAAGCCTGACAACGCTAAATGCTCAGTTTTCTAATTATAGAATTCACATATTAAAGTGGCAATAAATGTAACAATTATATTAATACTAATGATAAAAAATACCAACAGAGTTGCTTGATGCAAATAAATGTTGGTCTAATTATTTTATGGTTTCTATGCTGTTTATGAGTCAGAATATATGATCATGTAACATAGGCTATAGGCTTATTTATATATAAATATATTTTTATATAAAAATTAGTAAATGGACTTGCAGAGTCGTGGTCTGCGTACTCGATACGCGCTTTGAAGCTTCAGTGTCAAATGTAACATCACTAGCATACTTAGTATAATTATTTTGTATATATAAATACACACATGCATGTAGATATTTAAGAAATATTTGCATGTATATATATTTATTAGGGCTGGGCAAGTTAACATGTTATCGCGTTAACGCATTTATTAATTAATGCTGACAATTTTTTTATCGCACGTTAACGCAGTTTTTTTTTTTTTTTTTTTTAGTCCGTTGCACACTGGGTCTGAATAGGACATATGCCTACAGTCAAACCATGGATCACAGGAGGGGTGGGATGTTGGTCAGCCAGCAAATAACCCACCCAAACCAGCAGTGGAGGGGCTTTGGCAGGTTCTCTCAGGTGAACAGAAAGGGAGACAGCGCTCCGCGAGTGAATGACAGGCGCTCTATGGATAGTAACCATGGCAACGGCTTCTGCGCGCTACGCAGCTGTAGCCTTTTTAACTTAAATTAAAATTATACATAACTTTACCTGATGTGCCTGCGTGTAGTTTAGCGGGGATGCTCTGCAATGTGAATTCCCTTCTGTTGATGTCCTGATAACTATTTAAATATTGGAAACTCACAAACAGCGAGCCGAGGATCAGTCTCTCTTCCAATGATTTGTACTGCGAGTGCGCGTCGTGTACAAAAAGTTATTGACGATCAAAGTCCTTTTAGACAATTCAACTTCGGCAACGGGCGGGCGCGGGCGCGGGCGTGAGGCGAGCGCGTGAGGCGAGCATGACCGCAACAGTTTCACAGAACGCACCCGCTTGTCGGTGCACCTGTGCTCGACCCACTTCACCTCACTCTAGGCTGATTTATACTTCTGTGTCGGACTTACACTACGCGTTGGTTGGTTTTACTTCTGCGTCGTTGTCCGCGTTGACGCGCAATTACACATGCAGAGGGAGAGTGTGAAACCCGTGGAGCGGTTCTAGCAATCACAGCGCTTGCGGTGCGCGTAGAATTGACGCGTTGTTACATTTTTGGAGAGGTGCACGTACGACGTAAGTTCGACGCAGAAGTATAAATTGGGCTTTACCTCTGTTTAATGCAATCTTAGTGTACGTGGGAAACCATGGCATGACCAAACCTAAGCTACTATCAGAGAAGTAACGTTGGTCGACTTATATCTAATGACCTCTGACTACATAGACTGTTTCTGCTGCTAAAAGACACCTGTTGATACCTGTTAAGAAAAAAACCAAGAAAACTGGACTCGTTTTAACAAGCTAGATAAAAGGTAAAGCCCTGGCAGTGGCAAATAGCTTTGTTTTAATATTTGATTTGATTACATTAATGTTTAAGTTGAGATTTACAATAAATAATTTATTGCTGTGTGGGAATACTGCTGGTATAAAGCACATTATTTGTTTAAAGTTTTTGCAACCCACATGTTATTACACTTTTGTGTATATAGCAGTACATTTAAATCAAAAGTGAGTAATACACTACTTTAGAATTCATTATTAAAGTTTGCGCGTAAGAATGTGATTAATCGCAAGAAAATCATGCGATTAATCGTGATTAAAAATTTTAATCGTTGCCCAGCACTAATATTTATACATCATTTATATTATATATAAATATTTTATACATTAACACGTTTTTCTTAAATATATACATGCATGTGTGTGTATTTATATATACAAAATAAATATACACAGTATCCACACATATATTATGTAAACAAACTTTTATTTTGGATGCGATTAAACATAATATAAACCAGTTAATTTAATGATTAATTTGCAAATAAATGTTTTCAAACCCTCCAAAATGTTCAAATAAATCAAATTAAGCATGCAGTATAATATCTGCATAAATACTTAAGAAAACATGAGCACAAACCTCCAGGTCCCATGGAGGCCACGCCCCCTCCACTGAGACGGTTGGCATTTATTGGCTGCCCGCCGGGACCCAAACCCATACCGATGCCGCCCAGACCTCCTGCAACACACATCACACACGCATGAACATATATAATCATACACTTACATATACATATAGATATAGACACACAGGTCAAATATAGCCTGATCCGGCACATAAAGCTCGTACTGGGTAACTGTGGCGCTTTCTCCGCTGGCCGGAAGTCATCTGGAGGAAGTGATTTATCGTCCTACAGTAAAACAAACACATGAATGGATGCAGAAGTGCTACTATGCTTCATAAACACGAGCTGTACAAGAACAAACGTCTCACCATTTTCACATGCATCTGTCTGTCAAACAGCATCTGGCCATTGAACATGGCTGTGAGTGGCAGTGAAGGAACACACACACACACCTAAAAAATAACATTTACAAGAGCTTCTGACAAAATGGTAATTGCTGTAGTTTAATTACAATTTTTAGCCTTAATTTGAATTATTATTAAAAAAAAAAATAATTATGTGTGAGTGAATGGGTTTGACTCCCTCCTGAAGACTTAATTTGTTATTACTGGATGAATCAACGTTTTTGAACAAATCTCTTCAACAAATGATTCAATGACATATTTTAACAGTCGCTTGTCGCCACCTACTGGATGCAATTGTAATCATTATTTCAAGCGTCAAACTACTTTCAAAACCTGATTTAGTCTATTTTGATCGCTACTGTAGACATCAGTGTTTATATTCAATCATACATCCAAATGTTCTTATCGGGCCGATAACAATAAAAATGAACATGCACTGCCGTTCAAAAGTTTGGGATCGGTAGGTTTTTTTAATGTGTCTCTTCTGCTCACCAAGGCTACATTTATTTGATTAAAAATACAAAAACAGTAATATTGTGAAATATTAATACAATTAAAATAATAAAATCACTGTTTTCTATGTGAATATACAGTAAAGTGTAATTTATTCCTGTGATCAAAGGTGAATTTTCAGCATCATTACTCCAGTCTTCAGTGTCACATGATCCTTCAGAAATCACTCTAATATGAGGATCTGATGCTCAAGAAACATTTATGATTATTATCAGTGTTAGAAAGAGTTAAAAAAAAAATCTGGTTTCTTTGATGAATAGAAAGTTCAGCATTTCTTTGATATAGAATCTTTTATAACATTATAAATGTCACTTTTGATCAATTTAATGCATCCTTGATGAATACAATTTTAATTTTTTTTTTTTTTTTTTTTAGTAAAATTAAAAGCATTAATCCCCCCCTCCCCCCCCCCCAAAAAAAATCTTACCTCAAACTTTTGAACAGTAGTGTATAAAGTTATAAAAACTACATTTATAATGTTACAAAAGATTTCAAATGCTGTTCTTTTGAACTTTCTATTCATCAAAGAATCCTGAAAAACAAATTGTAAACCGTTTTCAACACTGATAATAATCATAACTCTTTCTTGAGCATCAGATCATCATATTAGAGTGATTTCTGAAGGATCATGTGACACTGAAGACTGGAGTAATGATGCTGAAAATTCAGCTTTGATCACAGGAATAAATTACATTTTAAAATAGATTCAAAATAAAATGCATATTTTAAATTGTACAAATATTTGATGATTTGTTTTGTATTTTTAATTAAATAAATGCAGCCTTGGTGAGCAGAAGAGACTTATTATAAAAACATTAAAAATCTCACCGAGCCCACACTTTTGAGCGGCAGTGTATATGGGCCGATACAGATATTGCACATCCCTAAACAAAGAGTAGTGAATAATCTTGTATCCGCAGGTGTTGGTGAGGATACAGAGGGCTTGAACGGCCTCCAGCGGCTGCTCGAAGGACACCGTCCCCATCCCTCGGCTCTTCCCGTCTTTATCCTCTTTCACGTCTGCCCTCCTCACGGTGCCGGCCATGCCGAACACCTCCTTCAGCTTCTTCCAGCCCACCTTAAAGTCCAGCTGCGGAGAACACACACACACAGGAGTCAGGAGCTAAAGCAGAGCGTGTGCTTAAGATTACACACAGACTATGAATCAGTCAAATTAAACCGCAGTTAATAATAATCATTTCCTACTGCTCAAGTATCTTTATTTCACAGTTAAATACTAATAAACGTTAAAAATACTAATTTATGGAGGATATGCGTGAGACGTCACCGTTGGCCGGAGTGACTGCGGTTACTCAGTGGCAGCATTTGTTTTCAGCATTAATGCCACGAAAAACACACAAAACGCATCTAAACCGGGGAAGAGCTTTGAAATCGACTGTATAAATAGATTTGACAAGAAATCTGAGGGTGTATATTTTCAGACTGATGAAAGCTACAGAACAGAGACGCAAATGGATCCGCGATTCACAGAAACAACGACTCCAGGCAGAGAACAGTGGATTACAGTTTTCAGTCTGTGTCGAAATGCTGAATTATGGGGTAAAATCACACTATATTGTATTGACAACTCATCAATTAAATATTTACCATCGTAGATTCTGCATAATTGGACGTTTTTAAATAAACACTGATAAAAGCGACACAAGTTTTAGAGCTGGACGATATGATATATAACAGTGATATCATGGATTTACACCTATATTGTGTTTATATAAAGCGTTCACAGGCTAATTTGCTTTATGTTTTTCCCGGTGTGGAAATCAGGCTCATATAAACGTGAGGAAACACGACTCCTGCCGCATGTCCATATCCACGATCACCGGATCTCTGGTCAGTCGTAAGAAACTCTATATCGAGGCCAAGCTTTAGTTTAAACTGATAATTGTTTGTTGTACTCGTTTATTCACAGTTTCCTCTATTGACTCCAGTCACTCCGCAGCTCTTCCGCCACTCAGTCCGGCTGAGGGAGTGTGTTCCCAGTGTTCAGTTTACATTCCCAAACGATCATTTTGCAATTAATTGTAATAAAGCAGTGAGATTTGTGCATGCAGAAGGAGTCTCAAACATGTGTTGTGCTCCAGAAGCAGCTCGGGTGTGCCTCAAGGCTCAGTCCTGGGCCCGCTTCTCTTCTCTATCTACACGTTACCACAGATGCGACGGCTTACATTCCCACTGTTATTCTGCTAATAAAGTGACGTCAGTGCAAACCCTCTACACTCGAACCGCAGTGACGGACTCACGTTGGCCACGAACACGGTGTTTCCCAGGCGCCCGGCCTGCAGCGCGCTGATGATGTCAGGAGGGATGTTGGGGTTGTTGGCGATGGAAGGAGGAACGTTAATCCCGACGGGACCGTCCTGTCCTCGACCCGCTCCGAACATCCGGCCCGATCTCTGCAGAACACGCCGCGCATGATCCCCGTCAGGGTCCTGAAACAGGCAGACACACTCATCACACACTGTCTGCACAAACACACACGCGGGATGAAGGGATCTGATCGCTTACCTCCTTAATGTTCAGCGGCCGTCCGTTCAGATCATGTTTGCTCATGACTTCAATGGCTTTCTTCACAAACTCTTCATCTTTGAACTCAACCACACTGAAAGAGACGAGCAGCGGTCAGGACAAGTGTGTGTGTGTGTGTGAGAGACATTAAATCTGTACTATTTATGTTATAGAACAATGTAAGTGATTACTTTTTCAATGTTTAGAAAAAAATTAATTATAATAATTTCTGACTTCCTATAAAGCAATTTAAGTACCTTTATTTCACAGTTGATTAGTTTTTATAAAGGTTTGGGAAAACATAAATTAAAATAATTAATTAGGGAAATCTCCCTTATTTTCAATGTTCAATGTTGACAGCTATGAATAAAGTACAGTAGATGAACGCCAAGGTTATGGGTTTGATTCCCAAGGAATGCATTAAAAAAAAAGACGTATAATTGTAATGCAATGCAAGTCGCTTCAGATAAAACACATGCATTTTCAAGCACTACTTTTTTGGTTTACAAGGACTACAATCAGAGATCTCGCTAATTTAAAACAATATCTTTATCCTCTTTCAAATTCTAAAAAAGGTAACCCGATAAATAAACATACTAATAAAACAAAATGGTACAAATAAAGTGCAGCACATGCACAGTATGCAATGTTTCGCAACATTAACCATTGATTGACCTGAAGAATGAAAGCAGTTTCATATACTTGGATATTTATATGAGCAATATCACGCTCAAAGTCATGCGAAATGTCTTTATATCTTTATCAGACAGGCTGCAACATTAATTTTGAGTGAAAATATTGTTTCATATAAAAAAATTCACAAATTTTCAACAATTCAAGCACCTCTTCATAAATAAGGCTTTTTTCAAGGGTTTTCCAGGACTTAAGTTTAAAAAAAGTCAAATTTAGGTGCTTTAAGCACTTTGTTCGAACTCTGCGTTTAGTTTTTGCTGAATGAATTCATGTGTTGTGAAGCGGTTCTTACCCACAGCCCTGCAGACGCACGTCCCAAGAAGAAGAGGAAGAGGAGAAGAAAGAACATCATCAGAATCACTTCAACTCATTTATCATTAGTGCTTCAGAAAGATCAATTACAACATGCTCATGAAGTACAGGAGCGTTTTAATCAGCTCGTTTACATTTCATTGGGACGTGGCTACAGTGAGATGGACAAATGAAAGCAAATAAACTCAGAAAGGGGCAAATGAAACTGGATCTTGTTGTTACGGGAAAGAGAGAACGGATCAAACGGACAGATGGATGAAGGGGTTTAAGGAAAGACACCTGACAGATAGATGACTCTCGTAGGTCAGTTGGCGTGATCTTAAATCCAAATAAAAAAACACCTAAGCAATCATCAGATGTGAGACAGATGGACCCCAGCCAAACGGGTCAGCACCAAAATAATCATCATAATGGTCTTTACTGTAACATCAACACACCATCCATCCCAAAGGTCAAAGGAACAACAGTGTAATCGGCTCTACCGGAGTGCGATTTTAACCTCGCAGATTCACCAACACTTACCCTTGACTTTCCTTCTCCATCCTTAAAGAGTTCCACGTATGTAACCTCACCAACTACATGAGACATACAAAGGGAAAATACCACAGAGAACAAGGCATTTAAATCACCAGTGGATCGCCCCGAGTGCAACGCTACAGGAACACATACACCTGAACCCTGCGGCCCGCTCCACGAGCGCCGCCTCAAACCGATGCATTTATTCCACTATATACAGGTGCGAAGTAGCGCCGCACGATTAACCGCAACTCATGTGATCGCACTTAAAGGAGCAGTTCACTTTAAGATGAGAGTTAGCCCATGATTTACTCTCCCTCAAGCCATCCTAGGTGTGTATGACATTCTTCTTTCAGACGAACACAATCAGAGTTATATTAAAAAATGTCCTGGCTCTTCCAAGCTTTATAATAGCAGTGGATTGCAACCAACAGATTGAAGCTCAAAAAATGCATCATTTATATAGTGCATTATAAAAAAATATATAAAATAACAAATTTAACATCATAAAAGTGCATCTGTCCATCAAAAAAGTGCATCTGTCCATCATAAGTGCATCATTTATATAGTGCATTATAAAAAATATATACATTAAATTACATTAAATTTAACATTATAAAAAGTGCATCTATCCATCATAAAGTGCATCTGTCCATCATAAAGTGCTCCACACAGCTCTGGCGGGTTAATAAAGGCCTTCTGAAGCAAAAAGAAAAGAAAAATATCCATATTTAACATGTTACAAAGTCAAATTCTAGCTAAACGAACATAGGCAATCTACTTGAAGCTAGTTATTACACTTTATAAAGTTAAATATGAATATTTTTCTAACACAAACACACCGTTTTGCTTCAGAAGGCCTTTATTAACCCGCCGGACCCGTTTGGAGTTTATGACGGAAAGATGCACTTTTTTGAGCTTCAATCTGTTGGTTGCAATTCACTGCCATTATAAAGCTTGGAAGAGCAGGACGTATTTAATATAACTGATTGTGTTCGTCTGAAAGAAGAAAGTCATATACACTAAGATGACTTGAGGGAGAGTAAATCATGGGGTAACTTTCATCTTAAAGTGAATTACTCCTTTAAAACGAGTTGGTTTATCGCGATTATGAAATGGCAAATGCTGTGATTATTAGTAATGTGCAGCGTGTCAGTGAAGCACGGCTCAGTAAACGCGGCTCACTCTGAAAACACTGAGTTTGAGTATAAAGTGCATTTGAACATGAGAAGCATTTATGAACCTCTTGTCCAATGTTCCCTCTAAGCTGCGCGCGTGCGTGGCCGCGCACTTCTGATGCCTCGGCCGCGCACTTCTGAAGCGGCGGCGCGCAGAAAAGAATAAAATGCCACGCAGATGACTGAGGCGAAATGTGTGGGGAAATCCATTTGATTGTAGTTTATGTGAGAAATAATTGCAGTGCTCTGGTCAACCGCTATAGAGTGAAAACTGGTGAATGCAGTTTACAGGTTTCATAGAAAGATGATGTGAGCGCGTGTGATTGGCAGTGAGTCGTGTGTGCGGACCAAATAGCTCAATACAAGAGGCAACGAGAAACTCATAGACGTGCAATAAAATCACATCATCATATTTTAAAGAAGAGTGGTTTGATTAAAGTGGTGGAAATAACGGTTGATGAACACAGAACGGTAACACACCCACCCGCGTGCAAACTCAAAATACATTAGTTTAAATAGATGTTTTTGTGTGTGCGGGAGTTTCAGGGATGGTTAGATTATAAAAGAGTTCACATTCACTTTTCTTGAAAATATTTAGCTAATAGATCTATTTAAATGCTTCAGTTTGTTTTCATATTATAATAATATAATATGTAAACAAATTGAAGCATTTAAACTGATATATTATATCACTTCAAATACTTCAATTCGTTTTTTTTATATTATATTATATTAGGCCTATATTTTATTATATTATAATCCTAAATAAAGAATCTCACAAGGGTATTGTTTAGGGCTCCTTGCCATTAAAAGGTTTGAAACCCCCTGCTAAAGAAAATATGGGAAATTCATAAGCAATAAACAATCATTTAACTTTGATGGTTTAATGCTTCCTGTACACAATTAATTCACTGTACAAAAACACTTTATGGTTTTCCCAAACCATCTCAGTGTAACAGCTTAATTTTCTTCCATACTATATTCTATTATTGTAAAGAATTGAACTGTCCTGCAGAAGATTTTGTAAATTATTTTTCATAGGATTTCTTGCTAAAGACTGTACAGTTAACAGCACTGTAAAAAAAAAAAAAAAAAAAAAAAAAAAAAAAAAAAAAATCAGGTAACCTAAAATGTGCTTCATTTAGAGACTTCTTAATTTGTTAAGAAGCTTGTTTTTCGAAAATATGATTTAATACCAATAAGTTACATCAAGGGTCAAATAACATAGAAATGGCACATTCAAGTTAAAAGTTACAACTGAATGTTGAAACCATTGTGTTTCTACGTATGCTGTACAGGTCAGGTATAAAGAATATTTTGGCTCAGGTGGCGAAAAATGTCCGCCCAATAGAAAAAAGTTTTGCTCAGCAAGAAAAAAAATTAGAGGGAACATTGCTCTTGTCCAACAAAAGACAACATTTAACAACATGCTTTTACTCCAAACTCACTTCATCAGGACAGCTGAGCTCGTCCTTCTGTGAGATGATTCGCTTCTCACACAGAATACGGCAGTCGTGTGTTTATTAGTCGTGTTTAATCAGAGCGTTTCAATCTTCTGTTTATTCAGATACAGAGAGTGTGAGGCCGATAGGGGTTTCCTGGAATCATGTGCTTTAAAAATGTGGTGTGTTTTTTTTCTCTTATGACAAATCTTATAAGGAATATTACTTAATTAATCTGCTTCTTAATTTGGAGGAAACCAGCCTTTGTTTTTAATTTCAAGATCAGAAATTCAACACCTAAACACAAAATTGGTTTTAAAAATAAGAAAGCTGCAAAGTGTGTTTCAATCTGTAAACATTTTCATATTTTTCACATCTCATGCAAAAAGTGTGTGTGTCTGTTCTACGCTCTCTGGTGTTCAGAGGGATATGTGGTGTGTGTGTGTGACGCTCTCTGGTGTTCAGAGGGATTTGTGGTGTGTGTGTGTGTGTGTGACGCTCTATGGTGTTCAGAGGGATATGTGGTGTGTGTGTGTGAGACGCCCTCTGGTGTTCAGAGGGATATGTGGTGTGTGTGTGTGACGCTCTCTGGTGTTCAGAGGGATATGTGGTGTGTGTGTGTGTGTGACGCTCTCTGGTGTTCAGAGGGATATGTGGTGTGTGTGTGTGAGACGCCCTCTGGTGTTCAGAGGGATTTGTGGTGTGTGTGTGTGTGTGACGCTCTCTGGTGTTCAGAGGGATATGTGGTGTGTGTGTGTGTGTGTGACGCTCTCTGGTGTTCAGAGGGATATGTGGTGTGTGTGTGTGTGTGTGACGCTCTCTGGTGTTCAGAGGGATATGTGGTGTGTGTGTGTGAGACGCCCTCTGGTGTTCAGAGGGATATGTGGTGTGTGTGTGTGTGTGTGACGCTCTCTGGTGTTCAGAGGGATATGTGGTGTGTGTGTGTGTGTGTGACGCTCTCTGGTGTTCAGAGGGATATGTGGTGTGTGTGTGTGTGTGTGACGCTCTCTGGTGTTCAGAGGGATATGTGGTGTGTGTGTGTGTGTGAGACGCCCTCTGGTGTTCAGAGGGATATGTGTTGTGTGTGTGTGAGACGCCCTCTGGTGTTCAGAGGGATATGTGGTGTGTGTGTGTGAGACGCCCTCTGGTGTTCAGATAGATATGTGGTGTGTGTGTGTGAGACGCCCTCTGGTGTTCAGATAGATATGTGGTGTGTGTGTGTGAGACGCCCTCTGGTGTTCAGATGGATATGTGGTGTGTGTGTGTGAGACGCCCTCTGGTGTTCAGATGGATATGTGGTGTGTGTGTGTGAGACGCCCTCTGGTGTTCAGAGGGATATGTGTTGTGTGTGTGTGAGACGCCCTCTGGTGTTCAGAGGGATATGTGGTGTGTGTGTGTGAGACGCCCTCTGGTGTTCAGATAGATATGTGGTGTGTGTGTGTGAGACGCCCTCTGGTGTTCAGATAGATATGTGGTGTGTGTGTGTGTGTGTGAGACGCCCTCTGGTGTTCAGAGGGATATGTGGTGTGTGTGTGTGAGACGCCCTCTGGTGTTCAGATGGATATGTGGTGTGTGTGTGTGAGACGCCCTCTGGTGTTCAGATGGATATGTGGTGTGTGTGTGTGAGACGCCCTCTGGTGTTCAGATGGATATGTGGTGTGTGTGTGTGTGTGTGAGACGCCCTCTGGTGTTCAGAGGGATATGTGGTGTGTGTGTGTGAGACGCCCTCTGGTGTTCAGAGGGATATGTGGTGTGTGTGTGTGAGACGCCCTCTGGTGTTCAGATAGATATGTGGTGTGTGTGTGTGTGTGTGAGACGCCCTCTGGTGTTCAGATAGATATGTGGTGTGTGTGTGTGTGTGTGTGAGACGCCCTCTGGTGTTCAGATGGATATGTGGTGTGTGTGTGAGACGCCCTCTGGTGTTCAGATGGAGGAGTATTTACCACCGATCACTGACAAACTGCACATAAAATAATCGTAGTCCTTGCCAAATCGCGTGCGGTTTCATTGCGATTAATCGTGCAGCGCTAGTGCAAAGATGTAGAAAAATCACAGGTTTGACCACCCACCTGTACAAATCCTTCAAAATATCAGTGAGATCAAGCTACAGTGAGAGACTACAGCAGATACCAGAATAGCCTAGAGTCAAAACATATTCACACCGGCCAGAACAGCGTCCAAAGACGAAGAACAACCGCTCCGCTACATGACAGATACGAGAGAGGGAGAGGACGGGACGGGGACGCTGCGCTGTCTGTGTGCGTTACCTTTCTCGCGCATTAGATCTTTAATAGCCTGCCACTTCATATCATAAGGGATATTGCTAATGAACACCCGGTTCCTGAGCGAGGCCTTCTTGTCTCCGCCAGCGTGCCGCTCTTTATACGGATGGTAGCGGTGAGACTTTCGGCCCCCGGAGCTTTTCTCTTTGGGATCCGGCTTCTCCTCGGCGTCGCTGCAGAAACACGGAGAGGGAAAAAAACTTCAACACACATAAAGCAGTCCAACTACACAGGCTAAAGGCCTATAATTTTTTTTTTTTAAAAACATATATAATACATAAATAAATATATATTTATGATATAATAAATAAATATATTATGGCTGTCAACATTAACGTGTGTGATTAATATTTTCAAATATATTTAACGCAATTAGTTGAGGAGATTCCCCCCTTCCATATGTGAAGCGCTTTGAGGTCCCAGAAAAAGCGCTATATAAATGTAATGAATTATTATTATTATTATTATTAATTAACGCAGCATCCGTTTTTTATGTCTTTCCTATTGTGACGTATATAATAAACCTAACATTATATTATTTAAAATTGAACTCAGGCATTATATTGAGGCCCTAAAAGATGCAAGAAATAAAAAAGTAAAACATGTATAGAAATTTTAAATCCATTTCTTTTTGGAATTTTTTGTAAGTTACCCCCTAGGCTCTATATATATATATATATATTTTTTTTAAAGTTATTTCTATTTTAATTTTATTTTTTTCTTTCTGTTGTTTCCTTTGTTGGTATTATAAATGTAATAGATAACAGTTGCATACATTGTGATACTCTATATACGTGTATATTGTTCTGTTATGCAGTGAATAAATTAAAAGAACAAATGTAGGGCGGGGCTTGATTTTGCCAGTGAGGATTTGATTGGATGGTTGTGATTTGCTGCAATATTCCATTAAAACCCCTAAGAATCGTCCATTTTGATTTCATGGTGACTTTAACAAAAACTACATTGAAAATAAACTATGAGTGCGAACTAATGCGCTCTACACACGAACAGTCGCTAATGATGCGGCGGTTGCCATGGGTTACCGCTTTGATTGGCGCGCGCCACTAATGAAAGCAGCGCCACACAACAAACCGATGACAGAAACATAACGTTACGCGCTGAGAGGAAAGGAAAATTTGAAGAAACTATCTTAAGATACACTCGCGACGAACCGAGTGCATCTTAAGATAGTTTCTCCATTATAATTTCTTCGTGACGAACCGCGACTGATCTGAAGATAGAAATAAACATGAATCTTTCCTCTGTGAACGCGCACAGGCCGCGCAAACAACACACACGTAATAGACGCAACACATGCAGTATTTGAGATTTAAAAAGCTCCAAATTACGTTTTAACGCCATTTGTGTTCTCCTCTGTCTGTTGGGGCTCCGGTTCTCCTTCGTCAGTCGGAGAATCCCCTGATTCTTCTTGCTTGTTGTCAGTGAGATCGAGTGCCAGCTCCGCGTCCGCCATCACTGCTGATCTCTCTCTCAAGCGCGCGTCCGCGCTCAGTTATCGCGAGAAGACGCGAGAGGAAAATGGCGGCTGGATTTTGCAAGAGGCTGAAATGTTTTTTTCCCGCTAAAATCTGTGAAGGCCCCTGAGATAATGTGTTCCTCATAGCTTTCAAAGTCAAGTCACTTATATGTCTATAGCGCTTTATACAATATAGTATCAAATAAGATTCACAGTTATAACTATTATCCTGAAAAAAACGTAGGTTTTCGCTTTCAGTAGCTACTGTATGTGAACCACCAACTCAAACAGGAGTATTCGTGCTGTTCCAGAAATATGTCTCTCTTGTCCTATTGCCGTCTTTTATTAGATCAGACATACATGGTGAAACTTGAAAAATTAATTTATTGTGCAAAAGTTAATTTATTTCAGTAATTCAACTTAAAAGGTGAAACTAATTATAGCTAGGAAAACCTTTTCACAATATTCTAATTTTGAATGTGGGGTTTTCATAAGCTGCAAGCCATAATCATCAACATTATAACAAATAAAGGCTTGAAATATCTCACTTTGCATGTAATGAGTCTATATAATAGGCCTATATTAGTTTCAAGTTTTAAGTTGAATTAGTGAAATAAATGAACTTTTGCACGATATTCTAATTTTTCGAGTTTCACCTGTACATGTGAAATTAACTGGGCTAGAGTGTGGGCTTTGCCACAAAAAAATATTTATGTACAATAAGATAAAAGAAAAGTCTAAAATTATACATCGTTGCTATCCCACACATTTTTTTTTTTTTTTTTTTTTTTTACAAAGGTTTATTTCTGAGACTTTGATGCAAATTGCTCCTGGTCTCCAAAATGAAGATTTCTCTCATTTATATTGGTATTGTGAGTGTACTAAGAATTTTTGGAAAAACATTTAAAGTTTTTTTTTTTTTTTGTGGTAATATATAATTCCTGAAATCCCATTGAAATATGAAAATGTTATTCTGGGTTATACACATTGTGAAAAAGGACAGTCAGATGTTGTTTGTTTACTCAATCTAATTTTGTTTCTCGCTAAGTATTTTGTACAAACGTGTAAATATTGTAAGTGTAAGCCTTTCTCTGTTAAAACAGTTTATGTATTTGATTTCTGACTCTTCCAATAAGAAGACTGTAAAGACTGAATCTTTTAAAAAGGTATATTATTGTCCTGCTCCCTGGCATGTAATATGTGTTACTTTTGTTATAATATATAAAAAGTAGTCATCTTTATTTATATAGCGCTTTTACAATGCAGATTGTTTCAAAGCAGCTTTACAGAGATAACAGAAAAATAATGTTATAATAATATTGTTAAATATAAGATTAAATGTCCCCAAATAAGCAAGGCAAAAGCCAAGGCGAAATTACTGTGCAATAAACTCGTTTTATAATAACAATAGAGCAACAAACGGATGGGAAAATCCCACAGATCATCCTCGTTCCTGTGACCCAATCATAAGATTTTTCAAAACCCAATTAATATAAATGTGTAAAATATTATTTGGAAAATATTTAGTTTATATTAAATTACATTATTACTGTTTTCTACTAACTTACTGTTAGATGTGTTTTTCATGTGTTCACTTTCAAATGTTGAATTTATTTTAATAGCCTATATATTTTTCGTTATTTAATATTATTTTATTATTAAGATTAATTTGTCTTATTTATTTTTTAAAACATTTTAATCGATTTAGTTTAATCATATTTTTAAATGTGTATTATTAATTAATTTATATTTTTAAACAAATGTTTTGTTTTAATACTTTTTATATTTAAATAATATTATTTATGTTATTAAGATAAATTTCACTTATTTATTATTTTAATTTGAATCAAATGTTTTATTTTAATCATTTTTATTTAGTTAGTTTAATCTTATTTTGGTTATTTAATTGTTGTGATCAATTTGCCTTTTTATTTATTTGTTATTTAGTTAGTTTCATCATAGTTTATATTTATTTATATAAATACATTTTTTCTATTAGCTAATTTTTCTTAAAATCTTTAAAAAATCTTTTTTTATAGTTTAATCTTTTTTATTAGCCTATTTATTTATATAATTTTGTCTTATTTTTGCATCATTTTAATCAAAGGTTTTATTTTTGTAATTTTATATTTATTCATTTAAATCAAATTGTATTCATTAAAGTAACAACAGGTCGTTTTTTGCTCTCGGGGTCCCCCTACAGTTGGGAAACAGTATTGTCCTCTACTACTGTCGTAAACTCTGTCATCCTACATGCACGTGCAATTGTTGACAACCAGGATAGCCCTGAACACTGTAGGAGGAGGTCACATGCAGGTGTTCTGCTTGCGTCGCGTGTGAAATGTCTTCATCCCAGGTACAGTGGCATATATTTCAGCATGTCATATGAATATAATTTCATGGGTTTTATTTTTTTTCTAACGACAAATGATCGCGATGCTCACGTTTACAAGCCAGCGTCATTATAGTAGCCTAGTCTATTGGTTACCGTTTTACTGGATCTATATGATACTTCAATGCAATGTTTGAGTGGTTGATAATAACCATATATCGTCAATATTATAATATCAAGCTACCATAAATGAATCTGCAAATTTTACAAATCGATTTGCATTATAGCTTGAGGCAAGACAAATAAACAAATATCACAGACATGTTAGGTATCCTAAAATATGATTTTATTAATAATCTTCCTCCTTTCTTTGTACATGTTGAGTAGACTACACTTTTTAGGTCAAACATTTGCTATTTGCATTTCATCGATTGCAAAGTTCAAATCAGAACGAGAATACTAGCGATAGCTAACCATCAAAAACTAGAATATCGTTTACTAGCTACCAGATTGATAATTCGCTACTACTCTAGCGAATTAGAGAGGTTAGAGAGAGGCATTCTTTTTTCGATGGAGGGTTCGATGCTCCCTGCACACGCAAGGTCTCTCGCTCGCTTTCTCTCTCTGCCGTCCGCGCGCGTTGCAGCACAGTCTCTGTCTCGCGTGCGCGCTCGCTCTAGATTCCGGGAGATTTGAACTAATTTGCGGTATAACTTGTCGATCACGAGTGGCTCAACAGGTAGATCTATAGATAAACTCATCTTTCAGGCATTTGACCGACCGGGTTGACAATTTAGCGTGAGAAACCGGGGGTGTGGCGTGTGAGCGTGTGAAACCAATCAAATGCGGGTGTCTCACGGCCAATGTGTGAGAGTTGGCAGCTCTGCAATGTTGATCCTCGTTCTGCCTTTAACGCGATCACTTTCTCTTTTTCTCTTTTTGCTTTGCTCCGATAAAACCTTTGCTTTCTTGTTTTTCTGTGCTGCTTCGGCCATGACTATAACATTTGGCTGCAAGTCCGATTTTAAGGAAGTGGGGGTGGTGGTGGAAGTGACGTATATGCCGTAAAGCAGTCGAATTTTGTAGTTCTCTTTGTTCGCCGGTTACTACCCGAAACCCGAAGTTTAAAAGTACGATTAAAAACGCTACAGACCTCGTCAGGCTATGGCAGACGTGTCATTCAACCTATTGTAAGTCGATGTACCATCACAAGAGACTTGGAAATATATTATGAAGGTTGAAAAGTTACCTGTTGTTACTTTAATTAATCTTTTTAATCAAATGTCTGATTTTAATCCTTTTTAAAAATGCATTTAGTTTAATCTTGTTTTATTATTTATTGATTTTTCACATTTGGTTTTCTCTAGTTCACCAGTTTGAAATCTCCTGCCCCATAGCAAACACCTTCAAACTCTCAAATGACTACCCACAATACCCTAGCAACGCCTTGGTAACCCCCCCCCCCCACACACACACACTAGCAACGCCTTGGTAACCCCCCCCCCCCCCCCCCAAACCAACCAACCACACAACACCCTAGCAACACCTTGGTAACCCCCCACAGCATCCTAGCAATGCCTTGGTACTTGGTAACCCCCCATAATGCCCTAGCAACGCCTTGGTAACCACCCACAACAGACCGGAATCTGAAAAATCTTGTATTGCGGTATTAAATTGGGTTACAGGGCGTCACTGTGCCTTTAAAAGCAGGCTGAGCCGCATCAGTTCATCTAACGATGCTTTAAGAACAAGGTCTAATAGAGTTGACACACAGAAAGAGCCAGCTCTCATCTCGAGAAGAACAGCCTTCTGGAAATTCACAGAGCAAAGCAAATAACCAGGAACAGGCGAGAGCGAGAGTGAACATGCAGGAGCATCAGCAGCGGAGACTAACAAGTGGTTTCTGATCTGAGTGTGTGTGTGTGTGTGTGTGTGAGCTCGGGAAGTGCAGGCAGCAGGACTCTCTCTCGAGCCGGAGAGCTCACACACACTTCTCTGCAGGGATGATGAGGGGAACCACAGAAACACACTGACAGAATGAGGCCGAAATGAAGGTGAGATTGATTGCTTCTTGTTTTCGATCTGTTCTTCATCCTCCTCCTCCTCCTCCTCGTCTCGGTCTGAAACTGTTTCCTCTGCATGACGATGACATGCGGCTCTCAGTCGAGCAACAGGTCGTTCTCCCGCATGTGTCGCTCAGATTAAACATGTCGAGTCTCTGACTCTGCAAACGCGATCGGCTCTGACTCCTCAAGTGTGTGTTCTGCTGCAGTTCTGCTGAGAGACACTCATATCATATACACTTATGCTGGTTACTAATGGAGCACAGGAGACACACACACACACACACACACACACACACACACTCTCTCTCTCTCACACACACACACACACACACACACACTCACTCTCTCTCTCTCACACACACACACACACACACTCACTCTCTCTCTCTCACACACACACACACACTCTCTCTCTCTCTCTCTCTCTCACACACACACACACACTCTCTCTCACACACACACACACACACACACTCTCTCTCTCTCTCACACACACACACACACACTCACTCTCTCTCTCTCACACACACACAGACACACTCTCTCTCTCTCACACACACACACACACACAAACAAACACACACACTCATTCTCTCTCTCACACACACACACACTCTCTC